TTTTTATACTTTAAGGATGATGAAATTTTTATATCTCAAAAGAAGTATGTTGCTGACGTTTTAAAAAAATTCAAGATGGAGAATTCAAAGTCAATCTCAACACCTGTTGAAGAAAAGTTGAAGCTGAAAAAGGATAGTGATGAAAAAAGAATTAATGCAACATATTACAAGAGCTTGATTGGAAGCTTCAGATATTTGACTGCTACTAGACCAGATATTGTCTTTGGAGTAGGACTACTGAGCAGATTCATGGAAGAGCCACGTTCATGTCATTTACAAGGAGCAAAGAGAATTCTCAGATATATCAAAGGTACTCTGACCGAGGGAATTTTTTATGCTAACATTAAAGCTATGAAACTTGTTGGATATACAGATAGTGATTGAGCAGGAGATGTTGAAACAAGAAAAAGCACGTCAGGGTATTCATTTCATCTAGGAACAGGAGCAGTATCATGGTCCTCAAAGAAACAACATGTTGTCGCCCTTTCAACAGCCGAAGCAGAATACATGGCAGCAGCTAGTTGTGCAACTCAGTCAGTATGGTTAAGAAGAATGCTTGAAGTGATGCATCAGAAGCAAGATACTCTCACAGTGATATTTTGTGATAACAAGTCAGCAATTGCATTATGCAGAAATCCAGTATTTCATGGACGGTCCAAGCACATAGATATTTGGTTTCATAAAATCCGAGAACTAGTAGCTGAGAAAGAAGTAGCAATTGAATATTTTCCAACTGAAGAACAAGTTGTAGATATTTTTACAAAGCCTCTAAAGGCTGAGTTATTTTATAAGTTAAAGAAAATGCTTGGAATGATACAAGCTTGATTTAAGGGAGACAATGTCAGAATTGATTAAATCAAGATTGTAGGTGCCTACAAAGCCGTACTGCCACATCTGAAAATCCGAAATTAAAATTGCAGTAACAAAGTTTGACACCATTAATTGTGGTGGACAAAGCCAATTTGCATACCAACTCTCTCGTTCCTTCGCAAATGAGTTTCCTAAATATAATATTATATTAGTTTGTAAAGCCTATAAAAGGCTAATCTTGTACTGAGAGTATGTATCAAATTTCAGATTGAAATACATTGAAAGAAACTCTCTCTTCCTCTCTCGTTTCCGCTGTACGTGCATGAGTGTATTTGATAAAATTATGTCCCACTAATATCAAGATTGCTTGTAAGCATCAGTTCTTAATGATAAGATACAACACAAGCATCCCGCAATGGAGATACTCTGAGACTAATTCCTATGTTAACTAACTTCCAAAATATGGTGTTAATCATATTTCTTTTTAGCATTAAAACCACTATCCACCTCACCTAACTTCTTTGTTGTTATATAATGCTATGAGAATGTTACATTTGAGGTTATAATTTTTGTTTCTTGCTTACTTTTTGTAATTCTTACTCATCAAAAAACAAAAATTGTATCATAAAGCTATAAAAATGTCACGTAATAATTAATTTATTTCACTTGTGGTTAACAATGTTACAAAATCATTAATTATTGCAATTAATTAACCATGAACAATATACATTAATTTCACCTCACAAGTAATTAATAATAAATAAATTTAATTATATACGATTATTAACATGTGAATAATTATGGCATGAAATTATTGAAATGATTAATAATAATTAACTTTGATTCACAAGTAGCATGTTATGACGTTATTAAAATGCCTAATTGATTATTGAAATGTTATGAAGTAGCCGTTGTCTACAGTCTACTTACCGCGTCTATTGTCTGATAATAAAGTAATATAGAATATTCCGCACCAGAGACAATATTGCCCCTCTTAACATTCCAAAGGGGATGAGGCATAATCTGCAACTAAGTTCGTAGACTTGAGCAGTTGCAAGCTTGATACACACGGCCATACAGACTTCATTGGCCAACTGCTACCATAAGATTTGAGATCCTCGGAAAGAGTATTCAAACAGCAGCTGAGTGCTGAGATGCTTGAAGCTGACATCATTTAAACCAATGATTATAATATTTTATGCATTGATATAAAAATGTTTATTTGGACAAAGTTGATAGCAAAATTCAGGCCAGAATGGATGGCACATTCTATCATACTCCATTGGAATCACCTGATGGCAAAGTAAAGGGTATGATGGCAACGGGCCAAATTCAGAATATTAAGTGTTTCGGGGGGAAGAGGGCGCTTAACCTTGCGGGAAGAATAGTAATAATATTAAAAACCAATTACACTATACACAAAGATCACTTCTCTCACAACTACAAAAGGCAACAAAGAAAGCACAAGCACAAGCACGAACCACCTTCCATATTGGCCGGTGTGTTTGCACAAAAATCAATCAAAATCATCTAGGATCAAGAACCACCTTTTAAACCGACCAGTGTTCGCATTAAAATCAATCAAAATCAGCTAGGATCAAAAACCACATTTTCAATACAGCAAGTGGAATGTGCAACTGACTTTCAAAGGACAGTTGCAGCCGTGCAGGATGGTCAAACAGCAATGCCAAATAGATTGGGACTTGACTGTCAACATCAAAATTCGTCACTTAACTGAAAGGTCACTGGTCACATACCAAATGCCCCATGAAGTCAGAAACTTTGGAGTTGTGGTGGAATGATACTACTGTTGATTTAAAACAGGAAGTGTAGGGCGTGGCCTAACAACATTCAGAACCCCCCTTGCAGTTGCCTGTTAAGGGACAAAATAACAAACAGTAAGAAACATTGATCTAAACAGTGAGACTAAGTATCTATCCGATTGTTTTACCTCAAAGAAGGAATTCAGATTTAACCGCAAAAGAAAACGTCTCAAAAAGGGGGCCCGCTGACTTCCAGCAAGCCTGCTGCTGCGCAGTATAGTGTACAAGGAATTTGATTTCTTGTTGAATTCCTATAGACGTTAGGTTAGAGAAAACATCAACATAATAAATAAACAAACAAAAAGATAGGTTTCAGTAAAGGATGGAGACCTAATCTAACATGAAATGTAACTGCTAATTTGAAAAGGTCCAATCAAGCGAGACAAAAGGGGAAAAAATGGAAATGTGACTTTATCCATTGCACGCGCAGACTGAATTTAGGTACAAATCTGCCTCAGCAATATAGCCCTGGTTGGTTAGATTAAATTTCTACCGAGTACATCTAAATTGGAGAGAGTTCAAATTTTGACAGTATACATTTGACAATAAAAGACATTTTTTTCATTTCTTATTCATTCAATCAAATGAGGTAGGATATCAGATATTTGAAGGGAAGAAGTGCTCAATCAAGTGTATATTCCCATGTAAATTTCTGACAGCCTCATTTAGAAAAGGTGGCTTGTGGGAAACAGAATCAGAAAAGTTCTTTTTCAAGAGTTGATAATAATATTGTTTAGAAGTTAATTCTGAAGTTCCTAAAAGCTAATTTAGTCTGTCATATGCTAGATCTGAGTGGTATAATTAGAGAATTCCCATATTTATCATCATACTCTCATCATTGTAATAGGAACTAAGAGTTAGGGGCAGTTATGTGCAGAAAATAACTGCTTAGGAAATCAGTAATGTATTAGAAACTCCAAGATGACAGACAGTATGTGTAGCAAACTACTGTTAGTAGTTAGTTTTGTATCAGAAACTGCAGGATGGCAGATGTGTGGAAAATAACTGCTGGTAATTATGCATTAGGAATATATATCTGATCGTATTGGTTGTATAATTAGGAGTGTGAAGTTATTTTCAGTTTGTGGACAGAGAATACTCTCCCTAAGAGAATTTTGACTCTGGGACTGCAAGTGTAGTGCAGTATTTGTGTAATAGGAGATTTTGTCTCTGGGACAGCAAGTGCATTGCTGTACTGTGTATGATTTCGGTGTTCAAATGTTGTCTTTTATTACTTTCATCAATTGGTGTTCTATCACATTGATTATTAAATCATAATGAAATTATATGGAGAATGCAGAGTAATTTTATGTTATTCATAATATATAGGCTTAATTGCACTTTTAATCCCCCACTCCCCCTAAAATATCAAATTCACAATTTTAGTCCTTCAATTTTATAAAATCCACAATTTTGGTCTTTTCATTAATATTCATCTATTGATTGTTAAAATTGTAACATTGGTCATAATCTAACATTGGATAAATGACATAATGATTAATATTTAATAATATCTAAGTTAATTTGTACTTTTAGTTCTCATTTTTATCACATTTCCATCTCATTGTACCACTTTTATGAGATAAAAAATGAGAACTAATAATGAAATTTAACTTAAATATTATTAAATATTAATTGTCATGTCATTTATTTAATGCTAGATCACAATTGATGTAACAATTTTAACAATAAACAGATGAACATTCAACTAGGAGGACCAAAATTGCGAATTTTATAAAATTGGGGAACTAAAAATGTAAAATTAAAAATAAAGAGACCAAAACTACAAATTTGATATTATAAGACCAAAAGTTGCAATTTAGCCTAATATATATCATAACATATTTAACATTACAGCGTGAACAAGGCATTCACAAATGACATGGACTGAGTAAGATGATCATAAATGTAGTTTTTTTTCTCTTAATTAAAAATGTTCAGATAATTCATCCTACTATATATACTATGGTTAATATATGAAGCTGTATGAGGATAATAACGATTTAATTGAGATGCATATTACTGTACGATTATTTGGCAATCAAAACCAGCAATGCATATCACCTCAGCTATATGTTCCAGTTCAGAAGTATTTGAACAGTTATCTTGATTCTCAATATTCCAGCAGAATTGCAGGCAAAGCTTCATGATACTATCAAGTATCCTCGACACAGAACCAATGTCCAAGAAAGTTTGTGAAATCAAGGCTGATAGATACCTGTAGGAGACATTAAAATCAAATGGTACAACATAGTAATAAGCAATATTTAGGTAAAATAGCCACCACAAGAAATACAACAAACCACACTAAGAAGTTTATAAAAAAATAAATATGATCATGCTGGTATTGATAGTATGCATGTGGAATAATTCAGCAAGCAAAATAATTTTATGCCACTATAAAATGTAAAAACTAAAAGCATCCAGTAGATAAATTATTACTCTTGATGAAAGCCCACAAGTTCTGTAAAATCATGAGAATCTTGAATGTGAGATTGCAAAATGTTCCATTGAGACTCTATCACATCGACCTGCAAAGAAAAACACAAATTTAAATGTGAAACAGACATTTTATTCGTCATATAAGGTACAGTACACACCAAAAAATTGTAATTAGGATACCATCTGTATGCTTCTTTTGAATAAACCAAACACAAATTAATTTTTTTTTCCAAATGATAATAATTTACAATTAGTTCTTTTATTTGGCATCTAGAATTTTGAGCATGAAATAGGAGCTTGGAATTAGAATTGAGCCTGTTAATTCTAATTTTAATGATTGGAAGCCCTTTTAAAATTAGAGTCATAATCCTGTATGATAATTCCATGGAATCACAAAATAACCAGCCTAGGCCTTTACAACCAAGTGGTCAAGAGTTGAATCCTTGCTGCCACATTATGGTAAATAATTTTATACCACTCTAGAACCACATTAGTTGTCACATCATCATCTAGTGCCACCAAAATCCATTAAATTTGGAGCCACTCGATTGTAAATCAGAGAAGTTATTGGGACAAAATCGCACAACTACAATACCTAAAGGACCAAAAATGCAATTAAATAAAATATAAATTAACACTATTACAACGGCAGTAGTGAGTAGGGATCTAATTACAAACTTTTTAAATTATAAGGATTTGTTTAAACTATTTTCATCTATAAGGACTTAATTAAAAACTCTAAAAAAAATTATAAGCATCTATAGATTAATTTAACCTAAATAGTTTTATGTTGTGTCTAACACACTCCTTCATGCAAGAGCTCTATGGGCTTGATGTGTGGACAAAACATATGCCTGCCTACTTTGTTTTGAAAGTAATCCTTTTTTATTATAAGAAAGGGGGCAGCAAGAATCCAACTCTTGACCACTTGGTTGTAAAGGCTCCAATACCATGTCATGAATCAACTCTCCCAAAAGCTTAAGTTGTTATATGAAGACCAATGAACAATTTTATATTAAATATCTAATATTTCTATAGACACAAACTCCTGTAACTATCTTGCATCATACAAGTGAAAAATGTTATCACCGGAAAGAAAAGGAACATAAATGAAACATGGTCTTTGGGTCATCACTCATCACCTTTTCCATGTTCACTCATTGTAAGCACACAATGTACACATGTAAGAGTGCATGTAGCAGTGAATTCGACCCACCCCTCACTCCCAGTACACAAAACAAATCCTCCAAATTCCCAGACACCAAAATTTTCTCTCAAGTTGAACCCAAGTGTGAATCCAAACAAATATATCAGTGCTGAACTAGTGTATGTGTATGGACCACACAAGTGCCTCAAAGTTTAAACAATATTTATAGTAGCAAAATAATAAGTTTAACATCAAAGACAAGAAATGAATAACAACCTGAATATAAAATTGGAGATTTCTGATCAAGAATGCCATATGTTCTCTAACACGCCACATTGATCGAAATTGTTGACGTTTTTGCTGTGTTTCTGAGCACTTGTCTCGATCATTTCTGTGTTTGGCAAAATCACTATGATATTGATGCATTACAGATGCCCATAATTTCTCCAACTCCATTTGTGTTCGTTTTAGACGAAGTAGGTATTTGAATATTCTAAGGTACCTGTTAAAAGTGTTAATTGTGCAGAAAAGCTGTCACCTAGAAATCTAGAATAACATATCAAGTTTAACTTCCCTAGAAGCTAAAGTACATGAGTTGATTTTAACTTATGAGAAAAGTTTCATTAACTTTATCTTCTTTTCTTTTCTTAAAAGTGCCTATAAAGAACTTTATCCAGACAGAACTATAATGTCAAAGCATTATTTTAGTACGAGAGGGAGGAAACAAATCCTGATTAAGTGATTATTGAATATTACATGCTCATGATTACAACACAAGTCATTTGACTTTTTCAAACACTCATCCAATCTTGACCATTTAAGCCAGATTATCCAATGGTCCCCATTTATTCAAAATAAAGTTAATCAGTGGTCTCACAAGTTATACCCCCAGACACAAATAATATATATCTTAAATCAAAGGTCCTTATGATAATGTAACATTTGTACATCTTGAACACTTTGATGCCATGAAACTTTTCAAGAAGTTTTATACCATAAAGGGTTTCTGGTTAGATCTAGTATGTCTAAAATAAATAGCAAAGAAAAGAGTCAACACTTGGTCACATGACATTAGCAGTAGAAACTTACTTAGAGAGTACTTCTTGAGTAAAGAACAAATGCAAAGGCCAATCAACAGAATACTCAAGAGCAATACCATCCCAACCATCAAGTGACATTTCAGACGAAGCATTTGAAAGTGAAGCAGCAGAGCTACCATCTACAGAAGAGGTTGCCTTTGGTAAATCTAATATGGAAGATTTAACTGTGATCCCAAAAGATGGCATCCTAGAAGTGGAAGAGGATACTTTAGCACATAGTGTTCATAACAACTCAGCATGAAGCTAGCACAAGTGGAAGGGAAAATAATGAATATGGATCCTAACCGCAAGGACACTTTAGAGAAATATTTGTCTTCTTCACCAATAGTTTTTAATGCAGCCTGCATTCCAATGGAATTGCAATTAAGCTTTGTAATGCATCTAAAAATATGAACATGCTGATGTAATTAACAGGTTAATACTTAATAGCATTAAGTCAAAAAATGATATCATAAGGTAAACAAACCATCTGAAATGGGACCATAAGATCAGCCTCAGCAGTTGACTGGCGTGGTGGCAATCGCATTAACTGACGACTTTCCTCAAGGAAACACTTGCACAGAAAATAATGAGTAAATCAAAGATGTCAGTATAATTCCATTAAACTACAAGATAAACTTAAGTTTAAATCTCAGTGAGTAATTGATGCATATCCAAGGAACTACCCTACCCTATGTTGATTTTGCAGTCTAAACTCTAAAGTTTAAATCAATTTGCAACATTTCTTACCTTGTAACTGAATTATTTACCAGTTCAGAAATCAAACCAATTTAGAGTCGAAGAATTATTTTTTTACCATTCATAAATGAGATAACTCCATAATATAGAACAATGCAGATGTTGGAGATCTAGGAATGACAGAAATTCATCTACCATAATTTATTATCAATTACAAATTACAAAATAATCTGCAACCCACCATAAATTACACTACATACTGATTGATTAAAAGTAAGTCATGATATAGTCAGACACAAATACACACAAGGATTATGATAAACCAATATAATCATTTTCAAGGGTTAAAACAAACCCATACAGAAAAAGAGAAAATATTTAATTGAAAATTGAAATCACTATTTGATGGATGAATAGTGATCAAAAGTTCAGAAGTCATATTCCCCCTGATATGACAATGGGCCACAAGGGTCATGTTGGGTCAGTGGGTCGAGTTCAACCCAATAGCTGAAATGGGAAAGGGCTACCAATGCCATCAGATGCAGGGTGTTATATGTCAAGAGTTGGCATGGTGGTAAGCACTCCCAGTTATATCACCCCCCCCCCCCC